AGGGCCCCAGGGGCCGCGTTAGAACGCAATCTAGTTTGATCTTTGCCAGTCCAACCCAAATCCGGCCGATCGGGACACATCGTATCGCAGCGCAACGTGACATGGTGTACTATGAATGCTATGTTATGTAATGAATGATATGTCGTGCTATGCTATGATTGCTAGGGATGCTACGTTATGTGTCACGTGTTGCTGTGTTATGCAATCCTATGGTTTGCTGTGTTGCATCGCATTGGGCCCCATTGCATCGCGGTGGGCTGCAGTGCGCCGCGCTGGGCTGTATTGCGTAGCATAAACACCGCTGCGCCGCATTGTGTCGCGTCGGGCCCTGGCCGCGCGGGCCGTCTCACGGAGCCCTTAATTCCGCGTCCTCGCCCTTGCCAGCCGTTGTTTTTCTTGGCTTGCCCTGTTCTTGCCACGGGGCGCGTGAAAGCATGCGCCTGGCAATCGCGGGCGCACGGCGGCGACTCGTTGGGCCGCGCCAACAGCCCATGCGCGTGATCTTTGACATTTTGTTTGACAGCGTGTTCAGCTACAACGCACTTGCGGGCGAGGCGAGGCGAATCCACATCAGATCTGAGACGTGCTCCAGCTTCGTGGACAGCCACTTCTCGCAGGTATGGTTTCAGCGAGCGCTTGCGTGACGAGGACACGCCTATTTGCAGGTTGCTGTCCGCACTAAGGGTGACGACGACGAAAGTGGAGCGAAAAACATTTTCTGGGACGAGAGAATCGCAAGAGGATGGGCAGAACTCTGCAGATTAAGGCCCGGTCGCTCTCTTCATGCGCTGCAGCTGTTAGGGGGGATGCCGGCAATGCGGGATCCGCAGTGTTGCGTTCTCTCGTCGTCGACGCGCATTGGCTCGACAGTTGTCGCCGGACACTCGCATCCTTCAGTCGGCGTCAACAGGAATGGGGTGGCCAACCGACGGGGCAAGAGGCGTCGCTGGCGGGGTGCAACGTGACGGGAACTCAGAGCCTATATCATGTTTGCCAGCAAGAGGGCGCTGGGTTCAGGCGCTCCTGTTTGCGGCGCCAGCCAGCGGATGCGTCGATTTCGGGACGCGCAACGGTGCCGGCAGATCTGTTCGGGTGCGCAGGTTGCGTATCACGAGGGCCTTGCTGACACCGGGGGCGACACCTTGCGCGGGCGCGAGGGCGACAGCTTCACAGAATACGTCCATCGAGCAAAGAATGCGCCGTGGCTGTAACCATCTAGGATTGCTGCGCGCGCGGGGATTAAACGGGGGGCCGCCGCTCGCGCCTCGCGAGCTCTTCAGCAGCATCGCGTTTTTAAGAGTGGCAGTGGCTTGGAATGCTGGCACTCTGGTGCGAAGCCAAAGCTGGCCCCGCGCTCCAGCGACAGCGACATCAAGGCGCCATCCCACCGCGTTTCCATTGCGGCGACGTGGCGGAAAAAAGCCCAGCTTCCACGACCGAAGATGTCGTTTGCAGCGCGCAGTTCAGCGGGCTGCGCAAGGCAGACGACGCGTTCGACATGTGCCAAGTGTCTCTGACGAATATCTACCAGGTGTTGACCAGGGAAGGTCTAATTATGAATGGGCCACTGTTGCAGACGCCGCGCATTCCAGGTGCAGAGGGCTGGGATGTTCGCGTGTTTGTTATCGCATGTGCGGGAGGGGCGAATGGGCGTACTGCATCGACGCGGTGCCCCTTGCAGTTGTTGCAGTCGATGCGCGCGCTGCTGCGGGTCGTGATGCTCTGGATCGGTGCGCCACTTGGACTTGGGGCGTGGTGCTCGGGGCCCCGTTGCTCGATGTCGCTCGTGCGAGTGGGCGGGGGGCGGGCAGCTTCGACCTGGTGGAAGTGACGATTTGGGAGACGGTGCCGGAACGGATAGACGCGTCCAGTTTCGCCGTTATCATTCAGTTCCCAGCTGCAGCAGCGACCCTGTCTCTGGAGACGGTCATGGCCAGGAGGAAGACGTCCGCTGCCCCCCCCCGTTCGGCTTGACAATGACGAGGGCCGAGGTCTCCGAGCACGAAGGCGGGCCCGCGGCCCCGGCCTCGCCAGGGGCCCCCGAGGCGGGCCTTGGGGAATATCCAGAAGGCATCGGCGAGCCCGAGCCCCGAGGAGGGTCGCGAATGCGATTCCGAGGGCGGCGGCGGCGCTTCCCTGTCCAGCAGCAGCAGCAGCAGCAGCGGCGACGAGGAGCCGGGATTTCAAACGGCGCGCCCCGCCCCAGTCAGGATCTCGGCGATTTTGCCTTTGAAGCTCTCTGCGCGCCTTCGCCCGTGCGTTCGGCTCCCGCAGCTCCCCCTTATCGGCCCGCGCCCCTCGCGCCCTCCCTGGCCTGAGGCACCCCACCCCCCCCCCAAACACAGCGCCCCCCCCACCCCCCACCCCCCACACAACCACACTGCCCCCCCACCCCCCCCCCCCACCCCCACCCCCCCCCCCCCCCCCCCCCCCACCGCCAACCAGACACAAACACACACACCCCCAAGCCCCCCCAACCCCACCCCCCCCCCCACAACCCCCCACCCCCTCCACCCAACCCACCCCCCCCACCCCCCCCCCCCCCCCCCACCCCCCCCCCCCCCCCCACCCCCCCCCCCCCCCCACCCCCCCCCCCCCCCCCCCCCCCCCCAACCCCCCCCCCACCCCCCACCCCCACCACCCCCCCCCCCCCCCCCCCCCCCCCCCCCCCCCCCCCCCCCCCCCCCCCCCCCCCCCCCAACCCCCCCACTCCCCCACCCCCCCCCCCCCCACCCCCCCCCCCACCCCCCACCCCCCAAACCATCCCCCCCCCCCACCTCCTCGCCGCTCGGAATCAAATGCAACGTGGAACAGACGTTCGAAAGATCGGAAGCCCAACAAAATCGACTTGACACGGTGCGACTATCGAAAAGAAGGAGACGAGAAAGCCCCACCGACGACCGGCCGACACAGGCCAGCGAAGCTGCGCCCCCCCCCCCCCCCCTGTCGGACGCGAAAAAATATGAATAACGAGCATGCCCAGCACCCTCAGGGGGGAGGGCGACGACGACCAATCCATCCCCTCCCGCGTGTTCCCGCGCAGGGTCCAGACATGCCTCCAGATGTACTGGGTGGTCCTGGACCTGTTGCGCCTGGGCCAGTCGACCTGGACCTTGCGGCCCTGGGCCTGTTGCGCCTGGATTTGCTGCGCCCGGGGTCGCGGCCCTGGACCTGGTGTGCCCGGGCCTCAGCTGCCTCTCCCCGTTGGCCACCTGGCCGAAACAAGCACTCGCTCGTGCGACAAGGCCCCGTCGGGCAAGGCTCAATGTTATCTCAGCGAGAAGTCGACCGTCGAAGGCAGCTGGGGGCTCGACGACAGCCTCCAGGCTTCATCTTCGCCGAGGGGCCAAAGGGCGCAGGGCGGGGGACAGAGCGGCCGCGACCGCATCTGGGCGCCTCCAATATATGCGCCCCTCAGACGTGGACTTTGAGTTGCCCTTATTTTAGTTGATCCCCTCTTTGAGTTGCCATCGGTTTGATTTTTCCTCGGTTACGGTACCCTCGTTTAGAGTTCGACCCGCCCCGACAAAAGCCGCGCGCGCCTTCGCATGTGCCCCCCAGCTGCTCTGCGTTGCGGCGTGCCGTTTCAGGCCGGGTGCTCTGGCCAGGTGCGCCTGGCCTGGCGGGCGTTGCTGCGTTGACCGTGGCTCCCAGGGTAATTTCGTCAACTCTTGAATATTGGATTCCTCTCGGGGTCCTTCTGGATGTTAGTTTTATGTGGTTCCCGTCTGGACCCCGTCGAGAGGGCCCCTTTGGATGCCTCTTGAATGCCAAGCTGAAGTGGGGCTTAAAGTTGTTTTCCTGCTGGTTCTCTTGGAGCCTTCTTGGGTGCGCCTGGAAGCGGGGTGTAGAGTTTTCTGACACCCCTTTAAGAGGGCCCTTGTTGGACCCCTTCGAGTGCGATCAGGAGGGGCGTGCAGTTTTTCCTTTCTGGTAACCACTCTCGCGGCAGCAGGGCAACTTCAACGGACTTGAACCAAGCCCAGCTTCAATGCATGATCAGACGCGCCTCTCCGAGGAAGTAGATCTCCGAGGTGGCCAATTGAGCTCCCGCGTGGAACGTCTTCTGATGTATCGAGCACCCCGCGACATGGCGCGTCTAGCCGCTGCGCCCTCGCCCCCCCCCCGTGCGGTATTGCGCCCTTGCGTGCTAGCCTCCCAATGGTCTTGCACTCCTGGTGTCCTTGCATCCTTGCGCCCTTGCAAGCTGCGCCCTTGCATCCATTGTGGCTCAGATTTCTCGTGGCTCAGGTCCCCCAGAGATCGTTGCGCCTCCGCGCCGTCGCGCGTCCGCGCCGTCGCGCGTCCGCGCCGTCGCGCTTCCGCGATGGGCTCGCAGGGCTGGTCGGGCCATCCGCGAGGCTCGGATCCGAACGTGTTCAAGATGCACGGCCTGCTGAAAGAGCGCCGCGCCTGGGCCGTCGTGGACGTCGAGCGCGCCGACGCAGGTTTCGAGGCCGCGGCAGGGATAGGGGTTCCGGTCTCGGCCGTGGGGGAGGAGTTGCGCACGCGTTTCGGCGTCTACCAGCAGGCGCCCAGCATCAGCACCTACAAGTGCAGCGCGCAGAGGGCTGTTGTTTCTGAGTTGAACCGCGAAAGGGGCACGGTATATGATTCGACGTGGCACGTCGCCTTCACCAGCGACTGCGGCTTCGGCGTCGCGGGGTCCGCGAAGGCGCTGGATGGGCGCGCGGCGCGGGCCCCCTACGAGCCGCCGGCGGCCGACGCCGGGCACATCAGAAGGGGACTTGTCTACGTCGAGGAGCGCGACGCGTGGGATGCCGTCTTCCTTGCCGAACGTGGCCAGCTGCGCACGGGGACACCTCGCCATGGCGATCCTCGACTTGAAGCAGGTCGCGGCGTCCAACTTCAGCGTCGCCCGCAGTGCCGACGGCTCCAAGCTGGACGACGGTTCCACCGACCTATTCGATGTCTGATTTCCGCGAGGTCCGTCGTCGAATGGCAACAATTTGCCTACGGCAGCACGGCGGTTCAGGATGAGTGGCACTGCGCGACGGCCCCGAGCCCGAGGGCGCGCCTCGACGGCATAGAGGACGCAAGCCACGATGTGCAGTGGGATATTTGCTGCGAGTGCATGTTGCACATATTGTGTGCTATGCGACGAGAGTCATTTCGCGCGCTGTCTGTGTGGCGCCTATTACAGTCTGACCTCGTTTGGCCTACGCTCGCCGTTGGCCCTGCCGCTCGGCGTGCTTGAACAAACGTCGCATCTTGACATGATCAGCGATCCTGACCCTAACGATTTTGAAACAAATAGACGCTCGCACCACAATCTGTCAACGCCAAGCCGCATACATATAAAAAAAACATGAGAACGAGCACCAATGCCATCACTGTTGCCACCGCTGTCATCATTACATGTATTATGCTCGTCATTGCGATCAATCTGTTTATCCTCATCTTTACGCACGTCGTTCTAATCATGTCACTGCCTGTTGTTATCAGCGCCAGCATTATCACCGCCCCTGCGGGAGGGGGCGAGGGGGGCGGCGTCGCGCATCCTCGTTTTCATCCCCCCATCCACCTTCTTGTCGGCGTTGCGTCAGTCCGCCCGCCCCTTCTCGGCGCGGCAGAACTGCACCGCGACAAAATGCAAATCAGAAAACGCAGCGCAGCAAACGGGCACTGCAGCAAGAATGCAGCGCAGCATCGTGCAACGAGGCAAACATGCAGCCCTTCTTGTATCTTGGGGTCCTATTGGGCCCCCCCTGGACCTCGGGGCCCTCTTGGGCCTCGGAGCCCGTGCAGGGCCGCGAAGCCCTCTTGGGGCCCTTCATATGCCGCTCCCGCCTCGAGCCCCCCAGGGGGGTCTGTGGATCCTGGGGGCCGAGGTGCCCGTGAACAACCCCCGTTGGCCGTCTTGAATGTTGAGGTCTTCCTGGCTGTCAAGCTTATGTGGTTCCCGTCTTGGATATTGGAGCCTTGGCGTGATCTCGAAGCCCTTTTAGGGTCCTTCTGGAAATCAGTATTCTGCTGTTCCCGTCGCAGGCCTGTGCAATGGCCTTCTTAGAGCCACGTTGGATGTCGGCCATGTTGGCTCATGCGCTTGGCGTTCCCGTATGAGACCCTCCTGGGCGTCAGGGCTAGGATCTTTCTCGGGTGTCCATCTCATGCTGTTCCCGTCTTGGGGTCTATGGTATGGCCCCTCTTGGATGTTTGGGCCCTCTTGGGGCCCCGCCGGATCTCGGGGCCGTCTTGGGCCTTGGGGCCTTTGCAGGATCTTGGAGTTCCCTTTGGGCCTTTCTGGATGTCTAGCTCATGTTGCCCCCGTCCTGGGCCCTCCAGGATCTTGGATCTTGGGGCCCCCCTTGGATGCCAATCTCATGTTGTTCCGTTCTTGGGCCGCGGGAGGGCCCGAGGCTGGGGGCGACGTGAGATTGGCGGCGGCGGCGTCGAATGACATCGCGAGGGCGTCTTCCGTCGTAGTCGAGGCGCTGGGCACGCTTTCGCACGGGGCGCCGGTGGGGGCGTTGGCCGCGTTGGAGGAGGACAGGGCAGCTGCCGCGGCAGGGCCCCAATGGGCCAGCGGCTACGGCCTCAGCATGCGTCGCGTGCTGGGCGCTGGACAATGTATTTTGCATTCAGTGACGCTGAGTGCGCGCGGGGTGGGTGAACAGCATTCAGTGACGCTGAGTGTGCGCGGGATGGGTGAACAAATCATGCCTCTGTCTCCCCGGCTTCTGCGTCGACGCCCATGGCGCGGGCCCCTCTGCGCGGAGGGGGGGGGGGGGGCGCCCTCGCACTTCCCGCGGGATTTCAGAGGTTGGGGGTCGCGAGCTCGCGCCTCTGTTCGCGCCCGCCTCTCCCCCGTCAATCCCCGACGCGTTCGCGAATGCGCGGGGGGCGGGGGGGGGGCGAACGGGGGCGCGAAGAGGGGTGCGAGTTCGCTTCGAACTCGCCCCCCAGTTTTGGGGGGGCGCCGTTGCGGGGGGTGGCAGTCCCCGCGGTCCCTTTGGAGCCTTCGGAGTCTGCGCTAACCCCCTCGATGTTCACTGGCCGATCCATGGGCGAAATCGATGTTCAAGGGCCAGGCCCTTGAACGCGAGCTTGTTAGAGTTTTTTTTGTTTCTAGCGACCCGCATCGGCATCCAGGGGCCGATCCTCGAGCGAAATCCTGCGCGAGGATCGGGCGACCCTTGAGCTTGATATCGTTCAAGGATCGGCCCTTGAACATCGAGGGGGGTGGCGCAGACAAAATCCGCGGACAAACTCGCGTTCAAGGGTTTGGTCATTGACCAAGACGCCCCCGCCCTGGACAACGTGAGGGGTCGCGAACATGTTCAGCCCGCGACGGTTG